ACAATTCAAAGACAATATAAATTTGGATGTCTAAGGTACTTTAATTGAGATATGCTGGGCTTTGTATAATGAGGACCACTTAGAGAGTAGAGATAAATTGGAAATACTGCACTGAATTCAGAGAACTTGATAGTGCTCATGTTTTTTGAGAAACCAGTTAGAGATCTCCCTTTTAGCATTCTAGAGGTTCTTGAGGTCTCACTGTGTTCCTTGACCTTAGTGGAATCTTCTTAGTGTGTTATGTGGTATGAGTAACAAACCACAGTCCACTCTCACAACTCAATGGGATGAGTTTGCTCTCTGAAAAGGGTTTGCTGGAGCTGGAATGTAGGAATTCCATGGCCACTAGGTGGCTACAGATGCCTGCAATGTAAGGCCCAAGTCCAGAGGTACTTTGTTCTATGAAAATAATATCACTTTGGGAATATTGATTTTCAGAACTATATGACAGATCAATTAATAAAATTTAAAGACCTTTGAGTATTATGTAGTCTTACTTTCTAATTTTGTTGGTAAAGAAAATGTAGGAAGAGTTTTCCAACTTGATTCTGCTGTAGAAGTCAGAATCAGAGATAGAATCCAATTATCTGTCTCTTAATCGTATTCTTTAGCTGTACAATCAATGGTCCTAAACTAATGTTTATGTTTCTGAAGTTACACCAAAGGGTTACATGGATATGACTGTGCCTAAGCCTATGGAAGGTGGATACAGTGACATCTCTAGAATTACTGTCACTTAGTGCAGTAACTATTGGTGTCACCCACTCTCACAAAAGGCCTTGTCTCTTGCCAGTTCATAGGGGTTTAATAAAGGTTCGTTTAAATTTTAATCATAGGATAATATGCAATAAGTATACTTGAAGTAGCCTTATTGTTGTTTGTTGTTGTTGTTATGTGCTGTCAAGTTGCTTGTGACCCATAGCAACCCTGTATATAAGAGCCCTAAACCTGCTCTATCCTGTGCCGACCTCACTGTCTCCAACACACTTACTCCTATTGCCCAGTCACTGATTTGATCCATCTTCTCAAGAGTCTTCCTCTCTTGTGCTGTCCCTCCACCCTCCCAAACATGATGTCCCTCTCCAAGGACTAGTCCCTCCTTGCAACATGCCCAAAGTACATTTGAAGAAGGTTCAAAATCCTTGCTTCCAAGGAGCAGCCTGGTTTCACCCTCTTTAGGACAAACCTGTTTGTTCTCTTAGCAGTCCATGGTATATTCAAAACTTTTCTCCAGCACCACAGCTCAAAGGCATCAATTCTCTTTCTATCATTCCTAGTCACTCTCCAGCTCTCTCACACGTAGTATGCAATTGTGAAGACTATGGCCCGGATCAGGCACACCTTAGTCTCCAGCCTGATGTCATTGCTCCTCAATCCTCTGGAGAGGTCCCTGACAGTTGACTTTCCCAGTGCAATTCAACTCTTGATTTCCTGGATGCTGGTACCAAGAGTGTTGATCGTGAAATCAAGCAAACTAAAACTAAACAATCTCAATCTCTTCACCATCCATAATGAAGCAGTTGGCCCAGTGGTGAGAGTCTTTGTTTTCTTGGTGTTGAGCTTCAATCCATATTGAAGGCTGCAGTACTTGACCTTCTGCAGCGAGCGCTTCAGGTCCTTCTTAGTTTCAGCAAGCAGGGTTGTGTCAGCTTCATAACGCCATAGTGTAATATTTCTTAATTATATAAATGTTTAGCACAAAATTGCTTTGTAAAAATTCTTTGACCAACAATAATGAAATTGAATTGCAACATTATTAGCTATAACACTATAAGGAACTGAGCAGAAGACTTATTTGCTTTTTCTCTTTGTCTTCAATTATATTCATTTTCTATTTTCTTATATGGTTTCACAATTCCCAGATATGAATTACCAGAACATTTTAGCTGACCACTAGAAAATAGGACACAATTTGTGACAGTGAAAATTCAGTAGAATTGAAACAAACAACATTGTGTGCTTGTAGTCAAGCAGATGAGATCACATGATTCAAAGCATCTTTGTCCTTGGGCAACAATAGTAACTATGATTGGAAAGCATTGCTAGTGTCAGGTACTGTTTAGTGAGTGAATTATTACTTATAGGGACCCTAAATAGAATGTCATGCTGGTTTAATTTTTTTAAATTATTATTAATTTTAATGAAAATTTACAGATATTTTGGATTTCCATCATTCGTTGTTGCACTTTTCTCCCTGCCCACCCCCTCCCCCACTCCAGTTCACTCTTCTCTTTCAAAAGTAAAAGAAAAATTTCTCCATTGGTATACAATTCCCCCACACCCCTACCCCTGCGCCACCCCGAGTATACTCCACACTGAATCCTTCATTCTGATCTCTTATGATAATCATAATACCATATAATATATGCTTTTGAACTGTTCTCTGCCTCATCCATTTCAATGCAGTATACATAATTTATCCAGTTTTTCTTATTCTTACCCCAACCCTGATGTCAGTCCCATTCTACAACAGTGGCACTATGCAGTGTTTGTCCTCTTATGACTGAGATGTTTCACTCAGCATGATGTCCTCGAGGGTCACCCATTTTGAATAATATTGCATTAGTTCCTTTTTTCAATGCAGTGTAGTATTCCATTGTGTGAATATACCACAGCTTCTCTATCTATTCGTTTGTTGATGGGCACTTAGGTTGTTCCAACTCCTTGCTATTGTGAACAAAGCCATAATGAACATGGGTCTGCATATATCTGCTTGGATGTCTGTTACGGTTTCTTTAGGGTATATTCCCAGAAGTGGAATTGCTGGGTCAAATGGTATCTCTGGAACCCTTATTCACTGTTGGTGGAACTGTAAAATGGTGCAACCATTATGGAAAGTAGTGTGGCACTTTCTCAAAAAGTTGCAAATAGAGATACCATTTGACCCAGCAAGGCCTGTATAATTTCTACCTTTCTTTTTAAGCTCATTGTTACAGCCACTATGTCAGCCCATATTGTTGGAGGTCTTTCTCTTTTGTTTCAGCTCTCTACTAAGTGTGCTGTCTTTCTCTAGGGAAGATTAAAAAAGTAGGTTACTCATAATGAAAACTTACAGAATATGCTATAAAATATTCCTTTTGGCGGGACTCCACAAGGAAAAGATTGATAACCCAGTTACAAAATGGGCACGTGACATGGAAAGACATTTGGATGGTCAACAGGCACATGAAGAAATGCTCAAAATTACTGGTAATCTGAGATATGGAAATCAAAACCATAGTGTAATGCCATCTCTTTCCAGTAGCAGTAGCAAAGTTTAACAAGACAGCAAACAATGAATGTTGGAGAGGATGTGGAGATTGGAACTCTCTTACACAGTTGGTGGGATTGTAAAATAATATAGCCACTCTGGGGGAAAAAAACCCACCAAAAAATTAAAAAAAAATTATATAGCCACTCTGGAAGGCAGTTTGGCGTTGCCTCAAAAAGCTGAACACAGAAATTCCATATGACAACGCTATTCATCTCTTAGGAATATATCCTGAGGTAAAGAGAATCGAGACACAAACGGAGATTTGTACACTGATGTTCACAGCAGCATTATTCACAATAGCAAGAAAATAGAAACATCCCAAACGTCTATTAATAAATGAATAGATTGTGGTATATTTACATGATGGAATACTATACAGCACTCAGGAGCAATAGTTTTGAACAATACTATTTTAACATGGGAGAAGCCAGAGACCATTATGCTGAATGAACTAACTTAGTCTCATGAGGGCAAATCCTGCCTAACAAGAAAAGGATTACTAGTAAGGTATGTAAAGAAGTACTAAGGGGGGGGGGAGTGGGTAGAGGGGCTGAGTGGAGAAAAACAGGGGGCTTGAAGAGTTTGGTGATCAGAATGAGGCGGTGAAGATTTAGGAAATAATGGAGACCTAAAATATCAGTTGATAGTGGGCATAAATCAAAAGTGATAGATTTTATAAAACACAATGTATGGGTCTGATTGAAACACAGTGTGAATGAAGAAATGTGTGAAGCACATTGTAAATGAATGAAGCACAATGTATACAAATTTTGTATGCAAACTAATATAAAATAATATATATAAAACAAAAAGTAAAATAGCATTGAGTTTATTCTTAAAAGTACATGTACATAGCAGATTAAAAAAATGGTTTTTGTTATAACTACTTGCAGGTATACTTATATAAAAATACTAAGTTTTTACTGAACCACACTATACAGGATAGCGATTTTGGTGTCCTCTCTAACAGGGCCCCTTGGTGTGGTCTGCAGCCTTGTACCTCCCTGAGTCCTTGCACTGCATATAAGAATGGTAATGGTTCAGGCACATGGTGAAATAGATAGTAGTGGCCATTTGATAGGAAGGATTGACCAGTATCTTCTGTATTCTCAAATCAGTTGAGTCTTGAGATTCATGAACTGATAAATTGCCACCATTCAGACTTCTGCTATATTCCTTCTCTTTCCTTTTCTTCAGATGAATAATACTATTTTTTAAAGGGACCTTTTCTAGTGTTTCTAATGAATATTTAATTTTTAAAACAGAGAAGAAACTTTTTTTTAAAATCAAAGACTTGTAGAAGACTACTGTCCAACAATGAAACAAACAAACAAAAATCTTGCCTGTGCATCAACTGAAAAGTATATGGCCCACTTTTGATTCTGCCCCCCCCCCATACCCTCTGGCATTCGAGGACACAAACATAGCAATCATTTCAAGGACTTTTGAAATAGTAAGTTCAGAAATGTTAACAATTTTATGTTTTTAAATGGCGTGCTAGAATGGTCTGCAACATACATTATTAATGCTTTCTGGAGCAAAATGGGGAGCTCTGGAGCCTAAAGGTAAGAAGCTGCACAGCAGTCCCAAAGGCATGCAGTTCAAATCCACCAGCTGTTCTGCTTTAAAATTTTCTTTGAAAATTTAAAAAAGAATATATTCCAACCGAGGTGAGCGAAAATATAGTTGGCTAAGAGTAAACACCCCAAAATTTTAATTATGGCTTATTTTCTTTTTCTTTATATAGTGATTTAAAAGGAGTGATAGTCACTTTGAGTGATGATGGGCACTTGCAGTGTTCTTATCTGGGGACGGACCCTTCTTTATTCCAAGCTCCAAAAGTTGAATCTAGAGAACTCAACTATGAAGACCTTGATATAGAATTTAAGGAACTACAGAAAACCATCAAAGATGTCAATAGAACACAAGGTATATCTTACTTGCAGCTTTTGATTATGATTTTTTATCAGTATTCATTGCAAAATTAATTTTCTGTTATAAATGTTTTGTTAATATTTAGTCCTCTTTTTAGAAATTGTGAAATTATGTTTGTGACAATAATATTCATCATTAGCACATAAAATCTTTGTGCTTAATGCATGTGTGATAATGTCTGAAAAATATGTCCTATTTAAGGTACTAAGGTGACAAAGCTTCATCTCACATATACTCACATACATGTTGCTAGACAAAGTTATTCCTAGGAGAGGGATATCATGCTTGGAAAGGTGGAAGGTCAGAGAAAGAGAAGAAGACCCTTAAGCAGGTGCATTGACACAGTGACTGCAGCAGTAGGCTTAACTATGTCAGAGACAATGAAGATGTCACAGGACAGTATAGGATCCAAATCTGTTGTACATAGGGTTGCCCTTCATGAATTGTACTCTATTCTGTGACACCTAAGAACAACAACAGCTATCATTATGGTTGAATTTGGATTCTAGTAATATTATATAGTTGACAATTTCAACAAGTATTTTTTTCCAGAATAAACATAATGGTATCTTTTTAGTTTGAAAAAAAATATAGGTCCTATTTAAGGTAATGTTTCTGTATTGTGTTTTAGGGTTAGCACTATGAAGTGTTTTACTTTTAAACTTTGAAGAGAAAGCAAATACTGCTTTGAGTAGTGGTTTTATGCCTTGAGAAGAACATTAAAATGTAAAGTGAGCATTTATTAACATCTAATATCCCTGAAAAAAAATTGTAGTTGCATCTTTTAAAAAAAATACCAAAGCAGTTAGTGAATGACAATTTACTAAAAATGTAGTCATGTACAGCTTAGTGATACAATTTATGTCTGTGGTTAATTAGACATTCAAATGGCATGTAGCCTCTGGTGTTTTGATGCCTAGTGACTCAGACACAGATGATATTTTCAGTTTCTGAGTTTTGAATAACTCAATATTATCTTACTTTGAGATTCACAAGGGTATAATTTTATTGTAAATTAAAAGGAGAAACAAAACACCAATCCTGGAGTTTGAATTGGACATGTGAAAAGCATTACTTTAAGTTCCCTTTTCAGGGTCAGGTAAAAGTATTTTTTTAATGAGAAAAAATATGGAGTATTTTCTCATAAAAGAAATGTTAAACAAGTAAAAATAATAAAAGAAGCACAGTATCAAAGCCAACCAAAGCAACATAGCCAATCTTAACCCTGATCCAGTCACTTTCCTAGATTTATGTATTTTTTGAGTCTATGTTACCAAGATTGTATTCCTCTGATCCTAAGAAAGTTAGATGATGTATTTTAAAATATGAATATTAATAGAAAATCATTATACTTTGGCTTCACACTTTATTTTAGAAAGTTTTGAAAGTAAACTCATGAACTTAGGTCTTTTAAGTATTTTCCATTACTTAAAATCTACCTGATGTCATCACCTCCATGTCAAATGGAGGATGGTTAATGTTGGATGTGTCACACTGCAATGTGCAGATTTTTTTCCAGTTTTGATACTAGTGCTTATGGGGTTGATGGAATTAAAAGCCACATTTTGCCACTTAAAATATAATTGGAAGAGTGGCATAGATATGTATAATGACATTTGTAGAGTTCATTAGATAAAGTTAATATGACTTTTCACCCCTGACTTAATGTCTTGAGATTTTTCCCTTTCCCATAAACAATGTACTAATGATATTCTGATTAACATACAATTGCGTATACATTTTTTTCAGAAAGTCACTTATAGCTACAAGTAATATCTTGGTGGCCAGAGTGATGCCATTGGGTGGAAGGTTAAGACTCTTTCCCTTATCATTATCTTGATGCTTAAGTGTACCTTGAAATGACTGTTAATTAAGCTGGGATGTACCCACAATCTTGGGGGTAGAGTTCATTATTTATAAAATCTCACATTTTGAATAGTGTTTTAAGTTCAATACTCTTTCCCTTCTTCTACCTTTTAGTTTTATTGCTGTAAAAGAAACAAAGATTTTGAGAAAGAGAGAATTTTGAGATATATTCTCTCTCACCATGGGGAAAAAACCTTAGTACTGTTTGAAAATGAAAATACTTGAGGCTGGTGCAGGCTGGGCAGTGTTTTGTTGTGTGGGACGTTGGGGAACTATGAATTGGAACTGACTCAGTGGTTCCTCACAATAAGAACTGTAATGAAAATTATATACAAATGCCATCTCTTTTGGCTATATAAGATAGTAAGTTAAACCTCTGAACTTCTAGATGACCTTCTTATTCATTTCTCGGTCCCTTTCAGTGTCTGGTGGCATTCATTTGCAAGAATAGCTCACAGTTTTGTAAGCCTTGTCCTCAGTCTTTTTGTCAAAGCAAGAGTTTCAGCAAATTTAGAGCCAATTTAAAGAGTACAATTTACTGTACACATGGTGTTTATTATCTACTCTAATAAAAGATTTTTTTGAAGTTGATTTTATGTGTTTATGCTATATAAGGAATGCATGCTGTAAGCATGAAATGTTACTAATAATTTCTGTATGGCTCATGGCTTCTGAAGCTTTTCATAGTTAGCTCATTAGTCCGAATCCTGCCTTCCTGATTTGTTACCAGTAGTCAGTGGCATCTACTGGGAGATACTGAAGATGAAATTTCCTTATGACTATTGCAGTTGATTGTATCCTCTTGTTGGGTTGAGTATGAAGGAATAGGTGCAGCAATGGGGTAGACTTTAACACAATTGTATCTTCAAGAAGAAAATGAGAGAGTGAACAGTAAAGCATGGAACATAAAATAAAAATTTTCACTCTCTTGGGACTAATGACCAGAATAGCTAAGTTGCCTCTAAGATTTTGAGTATTACAATATTTGTGTATGGTGACCTGATTGGGAGGTATGCCATTTAGGATGATGTTTGCCTGCTTGTTACAAATAGCTGAGTACGGTGATTTAAACAAGATGAGGGGTAGTTTCTTTCTCATGTAAAAGAAGCCCACATGTGTGCAATCCAAGATGGACTGCCTGCTCTGTAGTCACCCAGGACTCAGATTCCTTTTTTCCTTGTGGTCATCTTTTGGTCAAGATGGCCTTGTGAACTTTTGTCTTCACATCTGCAGCTGAGTCAGCACCTTCAGGAGCTTTCCTGGAAGCCATTCCCTGAACAACTTCCACTCACATGGGCACTAGAAGCTGAAAAAGAGACTGGGAAGTCACATGTTATTACTAAGCACTCTGTTGCTCATGATGAAATTGGGATTTGATTAGCAAAGAAGGATTGAAGGGTGATTACTGAGAGGTTGTCAAGCAGCTCTTTGCATTCTCACTAACCAAGTTACGGACCTTGTCATCTGAAGCCTTTGAAGTAATGACAGGCACACCTGAGAGTAGTTGTAGGTGACCTTTCTTTTCATGAGACAATAATTAATGTGTTTTCATCCAAATGCTTTCTATATTTTTGGTCAGCTACCTGCTTCCTGTCAGAGCTATTTCCTTTCACAAGCACAAGATGACTTCAGCAGTTCCATGTGCAGATACACTGATTTCCAGGAAAAGGAGATATCTTCTGAGCTTCCTTGTTCTCAGAGAGGGATAACTTTCCCAGAAGCATATGCCACCAGTTTGCGGGAATTAAGTCACATGCTCATGCCTAAAATAATAAAGGGTCTGGAGAATAGTATTGCCAGGATTGGATTTGACCAAGTGAGACTCTCCATTGAGGCCTTCAGGAGTAGGTTTCCTTAAGTTGGAGATGAATATTTTGACAAGCTTAGAGCTCCGCCCACATGGAAGGAGGTCAGGGAGAATGGCTGCCAGGGTAGACAGCCAAGAGGAGGTCATGCACACAAGTATAAATACACTCGTATCTCTTTTTTTCTTGGGATCTCTGTTGCATGTTCAAAAAGAATTTTATTATGTACATAAGCAGTTGCAAAATTGTGAAAATAACATGTATATGATAAAAAGAACTTTTACTAGAGTTATAAGTGTAAACAGTAAAGAATAAGTTCCTATGGAGCTCTGGTGGGCTAGTGGCAAGAAGCTGTGCTGCAATCCCAAAAGTTCACCATTCGAATCCTTCCCTGAGAAGAAGAGGGACAATCTCCTCCTGTGCCTGTCGGATCCAACTCCATGGTACACAACAAGAAATAATAATAATAAAAAGAATAAATTCCTCTTTAATCTAAGTCTTAGTGCTGCTTCTTATCTCTCTTAACTCATGGAACATATATTATCCACTAATATTTTCTTCAGCTGAGCCTCCTTGAGAACCTTCTGTCCCAGCTATGCAGTATACTCCTTGGTGGGAATCTGTACAACTGTGTGGGTCTGAAGAAATGGGCCTTATCATACTATTCTTATCATCACCTTCTGTGTGGGACTTACACATATGTATATACATATATATGTATATGTGTATGTATATATATACACATATATGTATATGTTTGTATATACATATATATGTATATGTGTATGTGTATATATATATATGTATATACGTATATATGTATATGTTGTCGTTGATTGCCTTTGAGTTGAGCATGGCTCATAGCGACCCTATGAACAAAAGACTTGAAGCCTTTCTATATCAACATTTATCAACATTCATAGATTTTCTGGAGGCTATATACATACATGCATACATACATATATACATATGTATATATATAATCTGATTAACTGCCTCTGAAAACCCACTGGAGGGTCAGCTGTGGGTCAGTTCTGATTCAACTGCACACAAACAACAATAACATGTACATATTAGACATACTATGTATGGGTCAGTTCCAACTAGACAGTACACAACAACAACATGGACGTTAATGATTTTTTTTTTACTTTTTAATATTTTGCACTAAAATCCCAAAGGGACACAGTTCGAGTCCATGCACAACTCTGCGGGAGAAGGGTGAACAGTTTCCTCCTCTGTGATTAACTGCCTCTGTAAAAACCCCTGGAGGGTCAGCTTTGGGTCAGTTCTGACTCTACAGCACACAAACAACTATAACATGTACATATTAGACATACTGTTCTGCGTCTTAGTGTTTTAAAAATAATGAGCCTTTGAGTTTGTTTAAAATTAGTGTATAATGAGTGACATAACTTTTATGTATAGTTTTGGACTGTTACATAGTATGAATATTTAATAATTTATTTAACCATTTATCTACTAGGACACATGTGACTATTTAGTTTCTGTATTTGTTTTTAGTTTAAAAAAGAGTTATCAACAGTGTTACAGTAAGCCTCTTTAAACAAATGTTTCTTACTATTGGATATTGGTGGTTGTTGTTATGTGCCATCAAGTTGCTTATACCTCATAGCCTCATACTATGCACAATAGCTCTGAACTCTGTCCTACCCTGATCCAATATCACTGTCTTTAACACACCTACTGCTATTACCCCAATCACTGTGTCAATCCATCTCATCCAGGGTCTCCCTCTTCTGCGCTGTCCCTCCACCCTTCCAAGCATGATGTCCTTCTTCAAGGACTGGTCCCTTCT